GGGAAGTAGGGAGGAGAAGAAGAGGAGGGGAAGAGAAAGTAGGAAAGAAAGAAAAGAGGGAGATGGTAGGTTGGAGGAGAAAGATTGCTGTACAATTAAAAAGATGAAATGGAAGAAAGGCAACCCCGAACAAATACAAATTTATTAAGATAAAGAATGAATTGTTAAAGAATAAAAGGGAATAAATATAAATAGTAAAAGTAGAATTTAAGAGCAAATGAAGATATTGTGCATGTAAGTAAGCATAGAAATAGTGAGATATGATTTTTTTAAAAAGGGGGGAAAAGAAGATTTTGGCAAGAATTGTCATTGAGTAAAATATATTAGAATTTAATTAATTGTATAAGACAAGAAAATGGCCAATACTCTGTTCAAAAAAAGATGTGGGGAAATGTGGGGGAAAACCCAATAAAACTTGTTAAAAAAAAGAAAAGAAAGAAATGTAAATAAATTATGGTTGACTGAAGTCTGCCAGATGTTTAGACTGCATCTGGCATTTTTGCCCTCTTATCGTATCCTTCCCAAGGGACTTGCGAGAGGCAGGCGTTTGTTGGCCTTTGAACATTGAATCTTCATTAAATGAATCGACGTAAATTAAGGACTACTACAGTACCTGCTCGACAAAGGCCAGGATTACGCATGGCGCTATAAACTTCGTGGTGTGTTAGAGTTGGGTTTTGTGTGTGTTGTAGGACCCACCACTGGATTTTGTAACACGTGGCCAGCCCTGCTATTTGTGGTTTCTTCACAAATCGTGAAGTCAACCACACAACTGAGAGCAAAGCCACCAACCTGTCAGTTTTGTTTCTTTTTTAACATAGCACAGTGGAGTAAAATTTAGTTCTCGTGCGTATAAAAAACTGACTGTATTTTGTTGGAAAAAAGTAAGAGGAGAAACCTGAAAAAGAGGCCAATCTGAAAGAGTTCCATAAAGAAAATAATTGTTTATGTTTGCTTCACAAGAGGGATGCGGTGGCTGAGTGGCTAAGACACTGAGCTTGTCCATCGAAAGGTCGGCAGTTCAGCGGTTCGAATCCCGAGTGCCGCGTAACGGGTGTGAGCTCCCGTGACTTGTCCCAGCTTCTGCCAACCTAGCAGTTTGAAAGCAGGTAAAAAATGCAAGTAGAAAAATAGGGACCATCTTTGGTGGGAAGGTAACAGCGTTCCATGCGCCTTTGACATTGAGTCATGCCGGCCACGTGACCACGGAGACATCTTCGGACAGCACTGGCTCTTTGGCTTTGAAACGGATATGAGCACCGTCCCCTAGAGTTGGGAACGACTAGCAGGTATGTGCGAGGGAAACCTTTCCCTTTTACCTTGCTTCACAAAGGAAAATGCAAAGCAAAATCAAGAAAACCCCCTATTCTAATTTTAAAAAATTAAAATCAGCATGGATATGTGAATGTATTTAAAAAAGACAATTCAAGGCCCATCCTTTTCACTTGAATATGAAAGACTGCACCTTTGTAGGTACCATTTGACTAGCCCAAATAAAGGAGAAAAGTTTTGGAAACCTCAATAAATCCAAAGGACAGCCATTCGGAAACAAAGAAATGGCCTTTATAACGAAGGAAGTCTAGTAGCCATTGTCACCAAAAGGAGAAAAGTTAAAGGATCCAACCAAGAAGCAAAGGAGAAATTTCCTGACAGTGAGAACAATGAATTAATGGAATAGTTTGTCTCCTGGAATGGTGGATGCTCCATTGCTGGAGGTTTTCAAGAAGAGACTGGACAACCATTTGACCAAGGTAGTCTAAAAGTCTCCTGCCTCGAGCTGGACTAGAAGACCTCAAGGGCAGCCCTATGATTCTATGTTCTATGACCAGAAAGAAGGCTACCAGTATAATTTGATATTCTCTTGACAGCTGTTTCTCCAGAATTGGATAGGATCTCCTGCTTGAGCAAGTGGGGGTTGGACTAGAAGACCTCCAAGCTTTCTTCCAACCCTATGATTCTATGTTTTTTTTTAATTATTATTATTTATTTATTTTTATATGCCGCCCTTCTCCGGAGACTCAGGGCAGCTTACAATGCGTTAAGCAATAGCCTTCATACTTTTGTATATTTTTATACAAAGTCAGCTTATTGCCCCCACAAACCGGGTCCTCATTTTACCCACCTTAGAAAGGATGGAAGGCTGAGTCCAACACCAGACCTTGAGCCTGGTGAGAATTGAACTCACAATAATTGCAGGCAGCTGGATGTTAAATGCTGCCTTAGTAGGAGGCATTAGCCTCCTACGCCACTCAGGTTCCTACTACTTCTACCACCAGAAACAAAAGGTAAAGGTTCCCCTCGCACATATGAGCTAGTCCAATGATAGCTAACCTTTTTGCCATCACGTGCCAAAAGTGTGGGGAGCGTGGTGGGGGGGTTTGCATGCGCGCGTGCCCACAGCCATAATTCAATGACACCCCGCACCCCTGCTCATGCGCACGTGACCCCCTGCGCTACCCCCGCTTTTGGCACAATAACGGTAGGCCCATTATTTGCCCTTCCCAGATTCCAGAGGCTTTCTTGGCACCTGGGGAGGGTGAAAACAGCCTTCCCCACCCCCCCAGAGGCCCTCCGGAAGCCGGAAACGGCCCATTTCCTGACTTCCAGTAGGCCTGGAAGGCCCAAAAATCAGCTGGCCGGTGCGCACATGCGTGCTGGAGCTGAGCTAGGACAACCTCATGTGCCCACAGATATGGCTCCGCGTGCCATAGGTTCGCCATGACGGTGCTAGTCGTTCCCAACTCTAAAGGTTGGTGTTCATCTCCGTTTCAAAGCCGAAGAGCCAGCGCTGTCTGAAGACGTCTCCGTGGTCATGTGGCCGGCATGACTCTACTTCATTTTTAACATGCTTTTGAACTGCTAGGTTGGCAGAAGCTGGGAAAAAGTCACGGGAACTCACCCTTTTATGTGGCACTAGGGATTCGAACCGCTGAACTGCCAACCTTTTGATCCACAAGCTCAGCATCTTAGGCACTGAGCCACCGTGTCCCCCCTACCAGAAACAAAGCAGCCTTGTATAATCGACATTCTAAACACAACCATTTGTCTGAAATGGTGCTTGGGCATGGGGTGAGGGGGGCTTGACTAGGTGACTAGATGACTAGGTGCCTGACTAGGAGGCTCAGTGGCTAAGACCCTGAGCTTGTCGATCAGAAAGGTCGGCAGTTCGGCGGTTCGAATCCCTAGTACAAGTCTCCTGCGTGAGCAGGGGGTTGGACTAGATGACCTCCAAGGTCCCTTCCAACTCTTGGAAGACCTCCCAGCTCCCTCCTTAACTCGGTTGTCCTTATTTAACTCCCAAAGTGACCAGGCTCAAAACTTTGCAAAGAAGTTGTTGGTAAATTGCCAACATATCAGGAGGAAAAGGAAAAAGTACGCACGTGTTTTCTCGCCTCTCGAAGTTAGGGGTGCGGTGGGGGGGGAGGGCAGAGGCAAAGGCTGCCTTGGCAGAGTTTTTTTCCATCCCCTCCCCCCACCCCAATATATATATATATATATTATTATAAAAAAGTTTTTTATTTTTAAACAAAACATAAAAACATCCATCATCCATTCCAATTACAAGTAGTGTGTCGGTCGGTTACAAATCTTTTGTGTTTCATCTCATATTCATCTTTACAACTTCTCTAATTTCTCGCATTATCAATCTAACATATATCTTTATATCCTTATTCTCATTTGTCATTCATTTAACCATGGCATTTTCCTCCCATTAAAATCACTTCCATAAATGGCATTAGAACATTTATTTCATATTTCATTTCCAAATTTTATTATCTAGCCATGGATAAAATAAATCCCATATCTTATAATATTGTTTATCTTCCTGTCTTCCAGGGGGAGAGCCTTCTCTGTGGGGGCACCTACCCTCTGGAACGAGCTGCCCACGGAGATTCGTCGGATTCCCGACCTTCGTACCTTTCGCTGCGCCCTTAAAACACTATTATTCCATCAGGCAGGGCTGGCCTAAAATATTATTTTTAATGGGTTAGTTTATGTTATTTTAGATTATGGGCCAAACTATTTAATAATTTTAAATTGTTTTTTAACTTTTATACTGTTGGTTTTTTTATCTTGGCTGTACACCGCCCTGAGTCCTTCGGGAGAAGGGCGGTATATAAATTTAATAAAACTAAAACTAAACCAGGGTGGATAAAAATCAATGATTTTTTAAAAAAAAATCAAAAAAATCAGATTTTTTTTTATTTAAATTGGATTTTTTTGATTTAAATCGGATTTTTTTTTATTTTTATCGAATTTATTTTAATAAAAAACTTTTGGGGTAAAAATCTATCGTAAGATAGTTTTCTATTTAAGATACATAAATAATTTAGTTTATTCCGCATGAAATGGAGCTTAGTTATGTAGCAGGAGGCTGTATATTCTGCAACACTGGGACTATCGGTGAGTCAACAGTGGGTCAAAGGAGTAGCAGAGATGACAGTTGCTCTTTAAAAATTATGATTTAAATGGAGTTGATTTAAATCAAGCCTTTTTACTAGTGATTTAAAATCAAATCCACCCTGAACTAAACTAAACTAAACTAAACTGTTCTCTAATGTCAAATGTCCATTTGCTCATTGCAGCACATTCCACAATTTTCCTAACAACTTCACCTTGTTTGGCTATTTCCTCGTTTTTCCAATGTTTAGCAAACACAGTTCTAGCCGCTGTCAATCCATTCACAATCGGGTAACTCAATTCTCCGTGATATGTTTCTGGCCCAAAGTTGGCTCTTGACCGTCCCTCCGCCCTTGCCCTCTCCTGCCCACGTGCCCGGGTGGCACCGGGGGCGGCCGTGGGAAGCCCCGGCAGGAACGGGCGATGCCTTAGCAACGCGCCAGAGCTGCTGTTTTCCCCCGCGGAGCCCAAGCCAGGCGAGCAGCGCCGTCCCCGCCGAGACGGGGAAACTTAATAGGTAAGCGCCACCTCTTCTGGGTGGGACCTGCCAGCGGCTTGGCCTGGGCGCAGCGCACCTCGGCTCCTCGCGCACTGCCAGCCAAGGCGGACCGGAGCTCTCTTGCGCGCTCGCTGCACCGCGCCTCCCTTCGCCCGGCCGGACTTGGCCGCAAGCCGAGCCTCCCACCCACCCCTTTCCCCCTCCCTACGCAACCCAAGAACCGGGCAAACCTCGCACAGGACTAGCCGCGCCGGCTCGCGTTTTTTTGGGCCACTTGCAGCTGCCCCGGGGGTCGTTTGCGGAGAAGCGCCATCATGCATTCGCTTTTCAAAAAAAGGAACCGAGGCAAATACAGCCCCACGGTGCAGAAGAAGAGGTGAGGAGGGGGTCTCTCTCTCTCTCTGTCTGTCTCTGAGTTTGTGGGTGGGTGGGAGATGCGCGGAATCCCCGCGGGCTTTGGGGGGTCCCTGTTCGCTTGGGAGGTCAGCAGAAAGGGACCCTTTCCAACATCTTTCGGTCTCGGTTGGAGCTTAACGGGACGGGAGCAAGCAAGTAGGGAAAAAGAGACGCGCCCCCTCCCCAATTTTCTTTCCCCTTCTTTTTTTTTTAAACGAGGCGAAGTTGGACTCGAACTTCAGGCGATTTTATTCCGCGCTCTTCATTGCGGGCAGTTGTGCCTAAAATGGGACAAAGCGAAGGAAGGATAAGCAAAGAAAAAATAAAAAGCTCTCTGCACATGCTCTATCAAGGCTCTGTTGCGATTTGCTCTACGGGCTCTCCGGTTTAACAGGAGCGTTTTTCTCTCGCCCTGCCTGGATTTGTGGTTTTGACTTTTCAGGCGTTTCGAAGAAGGACGGTTTTTTGGCAAGGGGCTAAAAATGAAAGTTCTCCTTCTGTCTGGTTTAACTGTGTTAAAAGGCTTGGCTTGCACAAATGTGGGACTGAGTCGGTTAAAGAAGGAGGATTGGCTGATTGTGTTGAAATGACCTCTCTGTTGGTGGATTCTGATGACCAGCTTTCATGTCAATGACATGAAAATAACTGGATTTGCTAGACGTTTTGGTCATTGTGTTGTCTGAATGGAGCCGTTGTCATGTGTAAAGCAGGATTTCTGACATCAGGAGCGGACGTGAACCCAGCCAGTTGGGCTTATCAATAAACTACAGTTAAACCAACCACAGTTTAACCAACCAACCAACCATCGGTTGCATCTATACTCTATTTCTGGGTGCTTGGATATTAAGTGTCAAGTGATTAAGATGTTAATCATTAAGTGTTGTACCTTATGATTCTTGACGAATGTATCTTTTCTTTTATGTACATGAAGAGCGTATGCACCAAAGACAAATTCCTTATGTGTCCAATCACACTTGGCCAAGAAAGAATTCTATCTATCTATCTATTGTTTGTGGCTTAGGTGCTGTCAGGTGCTGCCTTACTCAAGAAATGATGATTAAGCAAACCATGGCTTACGAAAGGAGCGAACCTTGACTTTACGTGCTTGAGGTTTATTTTGATGGCTGTTTGGGATGTCCCTCACCCCTGAAATTTCAGTCCTTAGAAAACTTTTTGTCTAAGTTCCCACCCCCCCTTTGGGGAAGCTTGAGTTTGGAGTGGTTTATGTGGAAGTGAATTCTCCTATGGCCTCTAGAACAGCCACCTAAGAGAAACGAGCATCGGATTTCAAACTTTAATTTTCCTCTGCAGCATAGTTCCCTCTGCACTTGGCACATTCCAGAATTTAATCTCTCTGGGTGTGGTGCCATCACCCTCCCTCCCTCCCTCTTTCTCTCTTTCTCATCCTCTTCTCTCTGTTTTTGGCATTCGCCCCAATCTTTTCCCTGGGTTTCTCTTTCCCCAACCGAAGAACATGTCTTGATGCGCCCTAAATTAAAAGGACAGTAGCCCATCTAGACTTGGGAAAACTGGGGTGGAATCTGAGAGATGCCTTCCCTCCCCCCCAAATCAGGCTATTGATCTGCCCCATCTTCCCTGATGCTGCTGGCTGGGGATGATAGGTGTTGACGTTCAGAGCATCGGAGGCCAAGAGTTGATGCAGAGGGGATCCCGTTCTCCACGTCTAAATTTGGAGAGCCGTGTATTTCCAAAACAAGGATTAAGAAAGGGGGACCTGGGGGTGGACAAGCCTCACCATCATAGTGGGAGGAAGGTGATAGTTTTTATCAAGATCTTTTCTTACACAAACTAGCCAGGAAGAACTCCTAACCTGTTTGCCCCAAAGATGCTTTTTCAAGAGGCCGCTGGACTTTCTGGTTTTTCTTTGAAGACGTTTCGCTTCTCATCCAAGAAGCTTCTTCAACTCTGAAGAAGAAGAGCTGAAGAAGCTTCTTGGATGAGAAGAGAAACGTCTTCAAAAGAAAAAGACAGAAAGTCCAGCGGCCTCTTGAAAAAAAGCACCTTTGGGACAACCATGACCTGGATGACGGAGAATCTCCATAGACTCCTAGTTTGTTTGCTGAGGCCCATCTTCAGCCCATCCTCAGCATGGGCCTCAGCTTTCTAGATGATGCTGAAGACAGCAGACTTCCCCATTGGCTAGGCTGCTCAGGGCTGGTGGGAACTGCATTCAGCAAAATCTGAAGGGCTGCTTCGTGTTGCAAATCCCCCCTGAAAAATCAAGATATTAGCTACTCCAGCATGGGCAACCCCAGCACTGGCTGTCTGCTGAATGAAGAGAGTCACATCAGTTGGGTAATGATATTCTCTGAGCCTGGTCATCGATGTGCCATTATAAGAGAATACATGTAGCTCAGGGTTGATCTGTGGGGTCCTTCATTAAGCTTAGAGAGCACCAAGGAACCTAAGGATTGGATATTTACAAAGTTGGGCCCAACAAGGATGGATGGAAATATCTTCTAAAAACAGGGAACCACCTGCTCCCTGCCTCTTAAAGAAAAGAGAGTTAGAAAGATCGTCCAGAAGGAAGTGTCCTCAAGTATTTCTTTTTTCAATTATTTTTTATTTTTATACATCTCATTGCGTGAATGGTTAGATACCTGGGTATCATACACTTCAATACAAATGAACATAACAATATTATTCCTAATAATTACACTTCATTTTTAATTTTACTGACACCTAACGTCTATCATCCTTCAGTTCTAAATCTTCTCATTATTCTTCCGTACCATCTTCACATCTATTTCTTGAGAAGTGTAAGTATTACAAGAAATATGTATTTCTTGATAAGACGGAGCTCAAGAAGAAACGTATTCCATTTCCTAGATTTTGTACCTAAGACCTTTTTCCCTTGCAGTCCATCCAACTAAGAAATCTTTGGTTTTTTTTTTAAAGAAAATGCTTTTCTTAATTTGTGTTTAGGGCAGTGTTTCTCAACCTGGGCAATTTGAAGCCGAGTGGAATTCGATTCCCAGAATTCTCCAGTCTGCAGTGCTGGCTGGGGAATTCTGGAAGTTGAGGTCCACCCAGCTTCAAGTTGCCCAGGTTAAGAAACACTGGTTTATAAAGACTTGACAAGTTGCTCCATTTAACTTATGAAGCACAACCTATACACTTCACCCCCTTGTCTTTTTTTTGTACCCTAAGCCAATGTTTTGCCTTTTTTTTTTTTACATTGCTCTACTAAATCGTAGAATGGGTGTGTCAAGAAGGAAATAAGAAAGAATGATCTGCAGTGGCTCTGTGTAAACGAAATCACCTTTTCATATCATTCTTGAACATCAACAGGTCTCTCTGTCACCAATTAGCTTGATTCTTTTTATGCCAACAAGCGAACCTCCCAAGAATGACTACGAAGTCCAAATCTTGCAAACTTTAAGCTCTGTTTATAGAATCCACTCTTGCTCCTTTTCAACTCTGGCGGCAGTTCCAAATTTCCATATAAGAGAGCTTACAGTTCTTACAAACTTCTGGGAGAGCTTTTAGAACATCTGGCCGAAGAGTATCAAAGACGATATGGGATCTGGAGGCTAAACTCTTACGATGAATGGTTAAGGGAAGTAGACAGGTCTATTGTCACAAAAACAATTAGGAGGGCACCTGATAGCTGTCTTCTAGTATTTGAGGGGAAGTCACAGAGAAGAATAAGGGACGCGGTGGCTCAGTGGCTAAGACGCTGAGCTCATCGATCGAAAGGTCGGCAGTTCAGTGGTTCAAATCCCGAGTGCCGCGTAACAGAGTGAGCTCCCGTGACTTATCCCAGCTTCTGCCAACCTAGCAGTTCGAAAGCACGTAAAAAAATGCAAGTAGAAAAATAGGGACCACCTTTGGTGGGAAGGAAACAGCATTCCGTGCGCCTTTGCCGTTGAATCATGCCGGCCACATGACCACGGAGACGTCTTCAGACAGCGCTGGCTTTTTGGCTTTGAAACGGAGATGAGCACCGCCCCCTAGAGTCAGGAACAGCTGTGCGAAGGGAACCTTTACCTTGACCCAGAGAAGAGATTAATTTATTCTCCAAAGCACCTGAGGGTAGGACAAGAAGTTATGGGTGGAATATCATTAAAGAGACATCAATTTGGAGAGCCACGTATTTCCAAAACAAGGATTAAAAAAACAAGGACCTTGGTGGACACCACAGTACGAGGAAGGTGACAATTTTATCAAGGTCTTTTCTTACACAAACTAGTCAGGAAGAGCTCCTAGCTAGCCTGTTGGCTGAGAACCTTCCCCGGTTTTAGAAGAGATCAACAGGTGGCTTGGCTTTCTAGATGATGCAGAAGACAACAGCTTCACTGTTGAATAGGCTGCCCAGGACTGGTGGGAACTGGATTCAGCCAAATCTGAAGGGCTGCTTCAATGTTGTAAATCCCATGATAGCTGTCTTCCAGTATTTGAGGGGAAGTCCCAGAGAAGAGGAGATTAATTTATTCTCCAAGGCACCTGAGTTTAGGAGAAGAAGTAATGGGTGGAATATCATTAAAGAGAGATCCCACCTAGAACTAAGGAGAAATTTCCAGTTAGTGAGGACAATTAATCAGTAGAATAGCTTGTTTCCTCGAATGCTTCATCACTGGAGGTTTTCAAGAAGAGACTGGAAAACCATTTGATTGGACGGTTAGTGTGACTTTCCATCTTTGTGCAAAGAAGATTCTTGTGGCCGTCGACGTATTTAGTAACTGAGTTGCAACTTTTCTTTCTCTTTCTCCATCAAACCTAAAAGGAAAACTTCTGGTTTCAGTTTTATGTTTCTTTTAAGAACCTTCTGAATGCAGATAAACATCTGATCCCAATTTTGTTTTTTTGTTTTTTGGCTTTATCACAGGGATGATTTTAAAAAAGTGCCCTATTTCAGATTTGATTGTGAAGTAGGTTGTTTGTACTTTAGATGTGGCTAGAGAAGGGCAGAGATTTAGATCTGGTCGTCTCTGAGAAGAATTTGGGCCTCTTTCAGAA